TCCTTGCTTTGGCACTATCCAACCGTCATAGATTCGCGCCAAGTCAGCTTTATCAGTTTTTTACATTTGTTTTTCAGTGCTGCTCCACTCAGGTGTGCTGCATAGGCTAGTAATACAAATGTAACGAGGTCTCCTGCAGAATGTAATAGAGTAAAAAGTCGATATTTGGCTTTGAAATGTAGTGAAGTGAAAGTAAAAAGTTGCAACAACTAAAAACACTCAAAGTGAAGTACAGATACCGCAAAAAAATACTGCCACTGTAACACAGACCTTGGACTCCCTATAGGTCTACAGTGATTATAGTAATATCTTCCTTGCAAAGAAATGTACATTAAACCGAATGCAGCATTGTAGACAATATTTACACATTGTACTTCATGTTTCCTTTGGATATTGCTGGAAATTGTTCTGAGAGTAAATTGTTATCATAACAATTTACTAATGCATTGCATTTAAACAGCACTTTTCATACACAAAAAGTGATAACAGTAGCTTGCTGGTCCTACCTGGCTGGAAATGCAGTCTGCCAAAAAATGTATCCCCCTCCATAATGCACAGATGATGGCCTACTGTCAACTCTTTTATTTTGTGTATACTTCACATCAGGACTAATAACAGGGGTGAATATGGAGAAGTTTCTATTTTCCAAGCAATTATTTCAGACTGTATTTTCAACTTGCCATATAACGTATCCCCCCTTTATAATGTACAGACGATGGCCTAAGTATTTAATTTTGTGTATACTTCACATCAGGACTAGACCAGAGAAAGTCTCGTACACTAGAGCTGAGAAATCATAAAGAATTTGATAAGGAACTGCATTGTCACCTTTTTTGAACCAAGATCCTGTAAATTTCTATCAGAGAATAAGTTTGCATTCAGGGAACATGTGACTGTACAAAGGTAGACTCATTTGTGGGAAGCTGGTAAACAAGGTGTGCTTGTATTAGATAAACAGATACAGAGGGTGTGTTTTCAGGTTGTGGGAAGTCAAATGTTTCTAATTCCAGAAGAAAACAGGTTCAACAGGCTGTGATGTCACCACTGACACCACATGGTAGCCTATGCGTTTCCTACTGACATCTGAGCTTCCTCGATTGTCCAAGGTAAGACCACTGCTCTGATATTTCTCACACATCACACTATTTTGTAGTGAATGAGGACACATAGTATTCGCAGACAGTATTTGGAGTTTGTATATGTCAGAGGCAGGTTTGTGCCAGTTTCAATAGATACCAGGGGCTTAAATATATCTTGTTCACATTAAAGAAGAGTCCCACGTGCGCTGGAATTACTTGCGTGTTTTTGGCAGGTGTGTATAATGGCTGGTAACGTTGGTTTGAGGTGATGGTATTGGCATGAAAGCACATCTTGTGGCGAAGCAGTGAATGATAATCACAGGACTACCTCTGTTCACATACTATAGTGACACTGTATTATGTTGAAGCTATAGTAACTGTTTAACTGAGCATTTGAACTGTATTAAGGTGATGATGAGCCCATTGATTTTAAAACATGGCTTATTATATACAGTAATAAGTAATGTCATCTCCTTGTCTGTACCAGACAAGCCCATATTTCTTCTTATAGATTCTTATACTGAATACATTGAAAGCATATATACTTTGTCATTCTACTCACGATATAGTAATGCTGCAACGTTTTGACACAGTCACTTAAAACCTCTGCTGCTCTGCTGAAACTTCAGACTGGTGTATACCAGTACAAACCTCTCTATTGTTTATTCTGTAGTAATGGAGGGTGGAGGTGATACCAGTAACTCCACAACAGAAGTACAGATGACTGTAGCACTGTGACGTTTGAAATGGAAACTGACCCACTGGGAAGGGTGGGTCTCTGGTCAACAGGGATATGAATGACTTTGACTCCTCCCTAGTAGATGTTGTGACCAGTTTGGGTCCATTGTCTGTAATTGTAAGTCTCCTGACAACTGAACTGTCTCAATGACAGCTGAACAAATTACATATGCTGATACAGGCTGTGAGATGTGGCCTATCCTTGTTGGTGACCTACAATTTCTTTGTTCAGCCTTGTCCTTATTTTTAGCTGCATGTCTATTTCTATCTATCTCTAAACTCCTTCTGTGAATACACATATTTGTCCTTAAAGCTGATTCTGATTCTGAAACCAGCATTAAAAAATTAGTAAATGGACACAGAGTGGAGAATTTTGTCAAAAATCTACTTCCAAGGTTAACAACTTTCATGAATGGTTCCTTAACTTTTCAACCGTTTCACTGAAATATAGTGACAAGCTTTTAAGATCCTTCTCACTAAAACATGAATAAACAGGTCCAAAAATGTAACCATATGAAGGAATGATTTTCAAAAACAATGCAATACAAAGTTGTTTGTTGTTTAAAAGCCGGTTTTACTATATACTAAACACCAGCAAGAGTGTGTCTTTGTGTGTTAATTATCTATTGTCTCTTGTCCTCTTCATCACTAGCTTCGTTAGAATGGAAGATCAGATGCAACCCCCATCATATGAGGAGGCCAGTCTCCAACCTCACAATCACGTTCTCCCTCCCCCATCCTACGACACCTCCCTCAACTCCCCCACATCACCTCCTCCCTCCTACCTAGAATCAGGTAAGTTTGAAAACAAATCTTCTGTTTCTCTGTTTTGGCCCTCTGTCCAAAAAGGCAGTGTTTTTCTCACCTTAAAACCCAGCTTTCTGAAAACAGTATACAGAATGGATAAATATGATGTGGAAAACTGAGCTTTACAAAAACAACGACAACAGACACGGGCGTGGACTATGTGTCAGTAAAGTTAAGCAACCTTTCTGTTGCCTCTAATTTTCCTCTGCAAACACTCATTTAAAAATGTATAGCTGTCAATAATGATCTCATAGTAGGCCTACAGCTTTTGTCATTAACCTGTATTTATGTTACAACAACTAAATTGTAACACTAAACTGTACTGAAACACAGTATAGATGATTACAGAGAGCAGGAGGGGACAGAAAGGAGTATTAAGGAGCTCAGACTGAACAAAGTAACCGGGCTGCTGACCGCAAGTTTGCTGTAATGCACTGTTAAATGCACTGACCAGTCGCCCTGGTAGCGACTGGTCAATCACAAGGTAGTCATACCCAAAAGCATACCCTGCTTTATCATCTGTTTTCCTCTAAATGAGAAATAGGGTCATTTTGTCATAGACTCCAATGCAATCAGACTTCTTTTTGCAACCAATGGAGTCGCCCCCTGCTGGCCATCGGAATAAATGCAGGTTTAGGGCACTTCCGTATTGGCTTCACTTTTCAGACCCAGAGGTTGCCACTTGAGCTGAATGCTGCCCTGGGAAGGACTGGGACAGACAGCCCACCTTACCAAATCTTTATGTCTTCATTAATGACTGTACTGTATGATAAAGTGTATTGACGTTTAAAATGTGTGACCACAGAAAAAGTCACTATGCTGCCCATGACACCTCAGTTCAGTGCCTGTTCTCTGTGGTTTTAATGGAGCCAATTTCATGGTAAAGTGAATAGTGCATAATAGTAGGTTTAGTTTTCTGTTTCTGTACTGAACGGGTATGAAATTGTTATTAATTCCCAGAGAAAGTTAGAGGCGACTAAAGGTTGTCTTCCTAACTTTACTGGCACACAGTCTCCAACCCTCACTGGGCTGGCTTACATCAGTGTTTTGCGAAAGCTCCATTTAGCCCGTACACACTGTAACACCAAGCAGGATTTTTTAAGATATCTAAACCCTGGAGAAAATTTTGGTAAAGCTCTGTTTTGGAGGAAGAAAATTGCTGCTAGTCTTGAAGGAGGACTGAAAAACAAAGAAAAAGATGCATTTACAAATTTAACCGGCTTAATGTGAACTTTTTTTTTTGTAGTTACAATTCAGCCAGATCCTTTTCCTGTCCTGACTCCACCCAGGGTGCCAACTGCTGTGACATCACCTTCACAAAACACTGGAATCATAATCCATCCAATTACACAAAGTATTAAAACTACATCTTTACTATTGCTTTTAAAATCATACATTCAAAATAACTGGGCAAATGAAAATAATAATGTTTTATTTGCTTCTGTATTTTGTTTCTGATGTCCTCTTCTGTCCTTCCCGTGCACTCTGAATACCAGTTGGTGTCAGCTGCATACAAACTCCGACAGTTGTGACCCAGCCTCAGCCGCAGCCTGTTCCTATCTCAGTGACACATCTGAGGGACATTCCCGGTTTGGTGCGCTGCCCACACTGCCAACATGTTGTCAGGACTAAAGTCACATACATGCCTGGGGGGGCGGCTTGGTGCCTGTGTATACTTCTCATCTTGGTGGGGTAAGACACACAGACATTTGAGGAATGAAAAATGTATTAAGTATAAATTAATAAATATATAAATAAATGCAGAAATAAATAATTAAATACATAAATAAATTTAAATTAATATATTTTTGTAATTAAAAAAAGGCTATTTCTGTATTTATTTCTCTATTGTTTATGCATTTCTACATGCATTTATTTCTACATTTATATCTATATTTATTTATTTATTTCTACATTTATTTATTTAGCATTTCCACATTTCTCCATTTATTTATGCCTGTATTTCCACATTTCAACATTTATTTTTGCCTGCGCCTGTATGCTAATTGAGTGGGTGGTGCCAACATCAGTCTGAAACAGGATTGATTAGCTGGGGGCCGCATCGCAAACCAGACAGAAGCAAGCGATTCATCTACATGACACAAGTTAGCTACACAGTAGATTCCTTTATCAAACATATTCAGTGTCAAAGTACATGGATTCTTCCATGTTTTTTACAACAACAGCTAGCATAAGATTCCTCCACTGTTGGTGCAGACTAGAATTACTCCGGAAAGTGTGTTAGTATAATGTTATACCTGTTCTGTCCTCTTCACACGCCTTGCATGAATTGACAGGCAGATGAACTCCATGCTAAGTACCAAGTTAAAATATCTAACTAATAAAGCAGCACAATACCATTAAATAAAAGTATACAGGTAATATATTTTAGGTTATACTTTATTTGGATAGTCTGCCTACAGATAGTTTATAAAATATTTGTAACATCTCAACACCTTATAAATTGAAATTAAATAATTCAACTGTCTAACAAATAAAATTATTTTATGATCATATTACACTACTGTGGTTTAGGTTTGATTAGGGCAAATGTTTGTGTTCATTATAATTTATATACTTTTTTGCTCACCTCCAAAAATTGTCTACATGGTTGTTAATCCTTAATTTGCTGATAACTATTTGTACAGAACGAGTTCAACATTTCTAATGTTTGCTGTAGTGTGTCAAACATTTTCTTACTCTCCCGCCCCATCCAGACTGTGATTGGTCAGTTTATGACTTTATGAAAAGAATGTGTAATTACAAGGTATCCAATCTTCTCCCTCCTTTGTCTCTCCTGACAGAGATTAGCAGAGACAAAGGAGGTTGTAGCCAAGTCAGTGGTCTGGTCGCTGCCACCCCCCGTAATCCGACAGAAGCAAACACAGTTCATGCAAATAACCGGCAATACAGGAGCACTAGGTGCAATTGATGGTGCTCATATAAAGATAAACTTTTTTTTATCTTTCATTTATTAATGTGTAGGCCTATATCATAATGTAATACATTTATACTAAAGTAATTTTTCATCCCTCATACAGACACACACCCAAGTGCTAAACCAGCTTAAACCTCTCTGCATGTGTGTGTGTTTCAGGTTGTTCTGCGGTTTCTGTCTGATCCCGCTCATGATACGTGGCCTACAAGATGCACATCATTCCTGCCCACAGTGCAACATCCATCTGCACACACACAGAAGTTGACACTGTCAGTATTAATAAGTCTCCTCCTGTTCTCTTGTTCAGTTTTTTTCACAATATGGATGAGTAAACTGTTTTATAAACTAGGACTGTAAACTGTTAAAGTTACACAGTGTGTATAGGTAATAATGTGTGTGATGAGTGTGTGATCTCAGGTTTATGCACTATATACTGAACATAGAGATGGAAAGAGGAGTGGCTTAAGGCCGTAGGGTCTACGTGCGTACCTACGCCGTAGGCTATGCACGTAGCCATGCATTTATACTTGTGTGTCCGTCATTCTGCAATTACACCTCCAAACGCTAGTCGGCAGTAGCGCTACAGCGTCCACTGTGTTGACTTTTGCCAGCCGAGCAGGCTAACTTTCGGTTTAGCGCTCCGCTAACGTGAATGGGGGTAAAATTGTAAACGTGCGGCTGGTGTAGCCTTTTCAAATGTTACCGACCGAATGGATCACATTCTGATAGCGAAACGAGTTGCGGGGTTGCGACAGTCAAATATATTGATTCACTGTGTTACAGCTGCCATTTTGGCCGCTAGTAAATGTTACTTTAAAGCGCGGGGTACTTCCGGTCTGCGCAGAGGCATTACGAGGCTACCCAGCCGACCAATCACAGAGCTTACAGTCTGCGTCGACTCGACGTGTAGTTACATTTTGGAGGAGGTGCACGTCAGGCGACGCCGTAGCCTCTGCACAGCCCCGTCACCTACGCCGTCGATTTGACGCAGAAGTATAAATTGCACTTTATGCTGTTTGAGATGTTAAAAGATGTCAGAGTTGGGATCCTATGAAATTCAAACTCACCACTGCTTTTTGCTTTGAAGGACAAAATTCCAATCTTTTAACAGCAAAAGTACATGATACCAAAAAGATCTGATTTTCATTTTAATTTTATCTTTCTGATCATATTTCATCTCTGACAGATGGGATGGTTTGGGTTGACACACATAACATTTTAAGGCATTCTTCACAAGCAGACAAGTTTTTCTGATACATAGAAGGAAACTAGACAAGAACATGTTTTATTACGGTTTTGACCTTTTGTAAGAATGTAATGTAGTTTTAAAATCAAATTAATGGCTATTAAAGGTTGACATTACTGAATCCACCCCAAAAGTGCACCTTTACGCTTTACATTAATGAGTGCAGACAAAAGACTAAGCAAAGATAAACAGAGGAAATTTATGATTATCATAACAATGTCTAGGACATTCTGTATTTTTATGATATTGTATTTTATATATTTAAAAACTAAAAGAACAAAACTTGAATACTTCGCTTTCTAATGCAGATACAGCTAACACTTGTTTTTACTTTAATGATGAAGGGGGCAACTTTTCCAGGCTTGAATGCCAGATAAGAAAGCCTGTTGTGAATCATGTTGACTTAACATGCTGTAATTTATTTTTCTGCACAATTCTTCTTTTAAAGGCCCTGCATAGCCAAGGTAAACCCACACAGTTGATTTGACTGATTAGACCTTTTGTCTGGAATGTGTGGGCGTGTACAGACCACTCCACTGACATCTCACCTGCGCTTCCTTTAGTTTTATTGCACCTATTAGGGCAGGACAAATAACATCGTTATCATCTTTATTATACATGGAAGCTAGTTGGCCTGATGCAACATACCTGTGTGGTTGTGCAGTGCCTTTAAGGTACAGTCTGCTACAACTCAAATTGATTGACGGAAGTTTGAATACAAAAGGCAATAGCAACATTTATTGGTTGCTGCAAGAAAATATACATTACTGAAGTTTAAAGTGCTATCTAGGATTCAAACTCTTCAACTGTGTATACTGTGACTCAAATTTACAAGGTAAAAAACAATACAAATGGTGTCTTTGTTATTATCTATGTTATTGTTGTGACGCATACTTTGGTATATCATTTACATCATGTACAACTCCAGTCAATGAAGCTGATTATTAAAGTGATTTTGTTTTCCATTTAATTCCATTCTTATCATCTTATAACTTTCTTGCTAGGAGTTAGATGAGAATGTCTGTGTGTCCATATGTGAAGCTGCAGTCAGGAGAGGGCTATTAATCTCTTACCTTGCACTTTACTTTATTATTAATCAACACGCACAAAAAAAGAACTCCCCAATATTTCTTGACTGCGAATTACAACTCTGAAGCTGATGAACATTTTTTCCATCTTGACGTCTTGTAATTACAGTCTTTTTTTGTACAAGATATAACTTAATTAGTAAATTAGTGTGCTTTAGAGATGTTAGTTGGCAGGCATTGTTTCCTTTGGACAGAACCAGGTCAGCTGTTTCATGTCTCTATGTAAAGCCTCTAGCTTCATAATATACCAGACACAGCACAGCACAGCAACAAGATTTTCAATCTTCTCCTATAAACTTCTGCAAGAAAGCGAAGTGTATTTCTCAAATTCTTGATGTATTCCTTTAATGATATCACCGCACCAGGTATAGAAAACAGGGTGAAGGTTGTGGTTGAAGGAAACATGTGGTGCCAGTACTGCTGAGTCAATGCCCTTCAATATAGTGACTGATTGATGCACCTGCTTTACCTGTCGTGGTCCAGCATCCCTGCCTCCTGTTTTTTAATCAAAATGTTTTCATGTTATTATTTATCATTCTATCATGTTGATAGGGAAATAAAAATGGTCTCTGGTTACTTTGACAAAGCTGTAAAGTAGTTTTATTTTTTCAAAATATGTGCAAGTGGGTGGCTTTTGCATATGAACACGCATATGTTTGAGTGCTTGAGCATAATGTGTGTGTGATTGGTGTGTGCATATGCTTTTGTGCTTCCATTTTGACCTTGTTCAGGCTAACAGTTTTAGGCAAAGGGCATTTAGATATTAGTGATATACTTGATATGAACAGCAACCAATAGCAGACATACAACAGGGCTCAGATAGGAAAGTTAATCAGCTACAGACTTGTGGGCCTAGTCGGCAGATAACAAAAGCATTTACAACTACCAGCTCAGCACTGATTCACATACACACATATATATATCTCTGTCCTACCTTTCACCACTCCTTCCCTACCGTCTGTCAAGCTTGTTCCAGTGGCCAGTTTGTCAGTCTGTGAGTGAACCGTCATGAGGACACTGCTGCTGCTGTGGGCGACGACCTTGTGTCTCTGTGTGTTTGTCGCCGCTGACACACAGGCAGACAAATCATCCCCTGAGAAGGATGGAGTTTTACAGCTGAAGAAAGGAAATTTCAACAGGGTACTGAGAAAACATAAACAGCTGCTGGTGCACTTCTGTAAGTTACACACACAGCTTGATCTTGACCTATATGTTAGTACAGGCTAAGCATAAAAATGACACCATAAGAGCGACTAAGTGGTTTGTATCTTTGGACAAAGCCAAATAGCATCCTCATGTATACTCACTGCGTGTGTCTGTTCCTACGTGCATGTAGATGCTCCTCTGTCTGGAGAAGGCTATCGAGTCTCAGCAGCCTTCGAAGGTGCTGCTGCAGAGCTTCAGGGGTCAGAGGTCAAACTGGCAGTGCTTGATGTGACAAAGGAGAAGGACCTCGCTAAAGAACTCAATGCGACAGGACTTCCCACAATCAGGCTGTACCTTTCCGGAGATAAACACAACCCTGTGTTCTGTCCTGGTACGTGCAAATAGTATCCTTTATACGTAGACCTACATTATTATCAGTTAATGGAGGTGTAATTTATCAATGTACTAAGAACTAAGCGCCTTCATAGAAGCTTTGTTCCTGATAACTAACTAACTTTGAGAGCCGTAGCTGTAGGGTGGTGAATCATTTCTCGTGATAATGTGGTAATGCAACCATGTAATAAATATTAATTAATTAATACATTAAACTTATATATATATATATTGTCCATGTATATAACATTATATCCTATATGATCTTATTCCTTTACAGATCATCAGCATTAACCTGGCTGTTCTGGCTACATTAGCTAATATTGTTAATATTGTTAAAATAATCCTGCTTCAACATCATACAATAAAACATGATTTGTTAAAAGTTAGATTTACGTGAGAGAATACAGTTGATAGGCTGAGATAGCTAATTTGCTAGTTAGCTAATTTTCTAGCTAGCTTGCAAACGTTAGCAAGCAAGTCTCGTGCCACTTGCCATCTGTTGCTACACTGAGCTAGCACAGTATTCAATAAATATTTTCTTGATCACTTAAATTATTTCTTATTGACGTAATTAGCCTTCCATTTCTTCATGTTTCTTGTTTGTTCAACAATTGACAATAATATTCTCTTCTGCAACAGCAGACTTGATTTTTTTGCTTCTTGATATGAAATGGCGCTATATGAATAAAATTGAATTAGAAACTCTGTCGCCTTCTTGTCTATTCCTTATATATAACTGCAACATACCTCATCATGCATTTCACGTATTTCTGAGATCAGGTTGCATCATGTGTTATCGCTGATTTAACAAGCAAATATAGCAGCTGTGTGCATCAGTTACATTGAAATCAAATCGTCCTCCTACAGAAAAAGTTGTTGTCATGTAAAAAATAGTACCAGCACCCAACTCCCATTAAACACAACTCATTTGTACTTTAAACAAATGAGATATAATATGTAAACTAGTGAGATTTATAATTTTAGGCAGATATTTTACTTACTTGGAGAAAACCAGGCAAGCTGTTTTCCCCTGTTTCCAGTCTTTATGCTAAGCTAAGCATCTTCTGACTCTTGCTCAATAGTTAATAATTTACTATTAACTATTTATTAAGTATTTATTATTGTCAACTATACTATTTTACTATTTAAATATGACTTGTTTTCCTGGATTGTGATTAAGCTCCTAAGAGCTCGGCTTCCATCTTGACCTGGCTGAAGAGGAGGGCTGGGTCTGCTGCTGACCTCATCACTGATCTTAGCCACTCCGAGGTCTCAGAGGAACTGACAGTGGTTGGATTCTTTAAGGTGATTAATGTTATTATGAATAGATTCCCACTTTCTCACTGGTGTTGTGACTATAATCAATTATCTGAATGATATTTTGTGTGCGTGTGTGTTTGTGTGCAGGAGCTGAACAACGAGTACATCCAGGTGTTCTACGCTGCAGCGATCGACCTTCCTGATGTTAACTTTGCTGTGACACAGAACAATGAAGTTATCAGCAAATATGGTGTCACATATGATGTAGTACTGCTACTCAAAAAGGTACTTTAAATATGACATACAACACACACACATATGACAAGCTGTATATATACCGACTCGATGCAAGAGACAGGATTTAAATCATTAAAGCATCACATAAAGCTGGTGGAAGGTATTAATGTATAAAGTAGTTCAAGACCAGAGGTTCACTGCATTCTTCCCTGTGTGTGTGTGTGTGTGTGTGTGTGTGTGTGTATCTGCTGCAGTCTAAGCTCATCCAGGCTTACAAAATGATGCCTCAGACATCCAAAGAGGAGCTGGTCGTTTTTATCACCGTCTACCAGATGGACCCAGTGACTGAGTACACTGGTCAGGTAGAGTATTAGATGCAAGGTACATTTTCACAGTCATATGACTTCTCTACTGCCAAGTTCGGGTAAAAAAGTTTGAATTTAAACTCACTAAGATGGGTTACTTCGCTGTATCAATACACTGAAGATTTTCTATAGGTTTCAGTTGGCATGTTTTTAGGATGAAAATCTGAAGGTCAAATATCTCTTTCAATGAATATAAAAAATAGGAGGTTTTTCCCCATCTAAGGTCTAACGTTTAACATGATTTGTGGATTTTTGTTCTCTCAAATTTAAAATCTACACCCTAATTGGACAGGCCACCCAAAAGACACAAAATAAAATAAAATAAAAGTCATATTGTTGCTACTGAAATGCATGGTGTGAACAGGGGAAAAGTCTTTGAAATTTAAAACATTTTGGGTGGAGTATTGTGTTGTTTTACATCATATCACATTGTATTACATCACTTTTGACTGCCATAAGTCTACTTTAACTTCTGTACTGTAACTTGAATAAACACTGAACAAAAGAAGTAAAAAGTAAAAGTATTTTTTACATTTACATTCTACATTTTTTGGCATTGCCTTCTTTCAATCTTCTAAAAAGTTAGATTTCCCAGGGAAAGACACAAGCTGGCAGCTACTAACACAGCTGAGATTTAATTCAGCAGTAATTCATACAGGGTGCACTATTTAGACACACATAACCTAATTTTTTTGATATGTATGTATGTTATTGTCTCTTTTGCAGACAGCCAATCAGATATTAACAGCACCTGTGTTAAACCACGCCCTCCTGTTTGTCAACAAAAGCTCTGCTGACTTTAAAGAGATCTACTCTGGTTTTAACAGTGCTGCTACAGCATTCAGGTTGAAGGTAAATTATTTCAAACAGCAGCATTGCAACCATATTAGAATAATCTTCTTGCAAGATGTTACGAGTACAGTACTTCATCTCTGCAAGTGTGTGTGTTTAGATTTTATTTGTGTGGGTGAACGTGGATGAGCCCCGTAATGGCAGGCTAATGGAGTACTTCCGGGTTCGTGATTTTGAGGCTCCACTCATCCGAATGGTCAACCTGACAGACCATGTGACCTATCACCTGCCTTCTGAAACTTTGGATGTAGAAACCATAAAAACATTCTGCCAGTCCTACCTAGAGGGCAAGGCTAAGGTAACATTCACTCTCTCACGTCTAATGTGTGAAAAATAACAGAAGCAGGAGAAAACGGCTTGTGCTGAAATAAATAACGTGTTCATGTCTGTGTTAATGTAACAGCCTAGGATGCAGAGTGAGCCGATACCTGAAGGTTGGGACAAACAGCCGGTGAAGGAGCTGGTGGGAATGACTCTGGAGAAAGTCGTCTTTAACCCCAACAAGACTGTTTTTGTCCTCTTCTGTATGTAAATACACTCTAAAAACTGTTCAGTAAGCCTGGGCTTGGAAATGTACAGTTCATAAGAAATCTAGTCACCTTGGTTAATACGAGGCTACATTTGGTCAAAAAGTGTAACGTCTTGGTTACACGTAATCATGTTTAAAGTAGTAATTTAAAGCTGCAGTAGTCTATAATTTATAGATACAATTACTAGGTGCTGCTTGTATAGTGATGAACCCACAGAGAATTATCACCTGACTCTACAGTTCCCCTCAATTGTCTAGATTTTCCAGCCCGCAACTTTACTCTTTCAGTTTGCTCTCACTGCTCTCATCAACAACGTTCTAGCAGGTAGCTGTTGTATACCCTCTATCTGCTCAGCATCACCAATAGCTGATGAACACACTGGAGCATTTAGCAGCTAAAGAGCCAGATACTTCCCCCTTGAGTTGGTGGAGCCCGAAAAAGAGTTAAAAGGAGAGTTTGTACATTGGACTCGTCAGGTGGCCAGAAACACGACCCTAAATGAATGATGATGTTGCTCCATGTCTGCTGAATGTGTAAATGGAAAAACTGCTTGCTAACACTTTTGCCACAATAACTTAAAGTGGCCATATTATGGTCATTTTCAGGTTCATAATTTTATTACAGGGTTGTACCAGTATAGGTTTACATGTTTAACATACCATATTTTCTGTAATACCGCACATTGCTGCAGCACCTCGTTTCCCCTTGTGTGTTAAACTCTCTGTTGTAGCTATGGAGTGAAGCATCTCACTTCTATTTGATCTTTGTTAGTTAGGACTACTAGCCAATCAGAAGCAGAGTGGGGCGGGTCCTGACAAGCCTGTAACCACAGCTTTGGTTCAGCTGTACATGGTTCCCAAAACAGCACTGACTGATAATCTATACTAAACTTCTATTTCAGATCTTCCCTACAGTCAGGAGTCACGTGCTGTGTTTCCACTTTGGGAGGAGTTAGCTGAGACCTTGAAGGATCGAGAAGACATTGTCATTGCTCGCATCGATGCCTCAGCCAATGACATCAACATGTCAATGCAGGGCACCTACCCATCACTCTGTTTGTTCCCTGCTCTATATGCTGAAAGAGTATGAAGCAATTTCAATTATTCTTTTTTTATCTTAAGTATTTTCTGTTTACAGTGTAACAGTATTTTTAATGTGATGACTGCAAACTTGTTTTGAATGAACTATCAATCTATTCCAACTCTAATGACACAATCTCTTATGGGGTGACTGTGGTTGCGTTATTTATAAATTTTTTTACAGAAATGAAAACATACATAACATAAATGAGGATAGATAAATACTGTAATATATCCCTGTGAGTTTTATGCATTAAAGGTGGGGTATGCGATTCTGAAGAAATCCAGTACCATGACCATGATACTATGAAATGGATCCAATGACACGGCAAGTGATGTAACTAACGTTAGCTCACTTGTGGGTTAGCCAACTGTCACTACAGTTGCGGCTCTAGAGCTAACATGCAGAGTAAGCAAGTAAAACTATATTTGTATACCAGTTTTTAACACAGGTTACAAAGCGCTGTACTTTAATATCAAACCTAAAAATAAAAACACAAACTCATGCAAGAAAAACATTTTTTAATTCATTCACATACCCGCACATATGACCACAGAACGCATACAGCTACCAGACACCTTTCATAGCACACCATTATCGCAAAAGCTAACCCAAAGAAGTGGGTTGTTATAAAATGTCTGAAAGAGGGAACATACTCAACTGATCTAATGGGAGGGGGGAGATCGTCTTTGGTTATATGCTTGGCACTCAGTATAGCCAATAGGTTATGGTTAAATGACTTAATAGGCTGCCCAGTGGTGTAAGGGCTTAGTAGCTCGGAAATGTACATACAAATCATTGCTGGAATAGTGTTGTGTGGCTCAATTCGAGCCACTTTGTTTGTTTCCCATTTACAGAGCCACATCTGTGTACAAGCACCAGATTTTTTTCCCATCACATCGACAGAACGGCCATCTCCCAGGCCAGGAGGAGATATTCGCGGACTTTGACAACAAGACTGTATTGGATTAGAATCACATATCCCACCTTTAAAGGAGCAAATTATTGTCAAATGACTGCTGAAAAATGTGCAGATTATATGCCTTACCCCTGCTATGTGGGGGAAACTTGACATGTATTGATGCAATAATGTTCAGTTTGTGAAATCTGTGTTCCTGTCAGATGCTGGTTTACCCTGGTAAGAGGAAGTTGAAGGACCTGGTTAAGTTTGTAGATAGAGAGATGGAGAAAGCCAAAAAAGACAGAGTGAAGGTAAAATTATCTCCTTTATTACTCTGCCCCACAAACACCACTGCCGTGGTTTGACTGTGTGTGTGTTTGAATGTTGCCTTTTTTCTGTGTTAAAAATAAACTTCTTTCTTTTGTGTCTCCAGGAGGATGAAGACAGGAGGAAGTACATCGAGGCCATAAAAGCTGAAGAGGCAAAAAAAGCCAACAAATCCAAAGATGAGCTTTAATCCAAAAACAAAGAGAGTACACTGTGTGTGTGTGTGTGTGTGTGTGTGTGTGTGTGTGTGTGTGTGTGTGTGTGGTATACCTTTCAGTCTGTACTTTCTAAACATGTATCAGGTTTTATCTACTCAACCAAGTTGTCAATAAGCATCTGGTCAATCAAATCTAATAAAGTCTTCACTTACAAACTCTCATGATGGTGAGACTTTTTATTTAACAGTGAGTCTCTGTTCTTGTCATGTTGATCATGGGAATTCAAAGTTGAAGAAGACTTAGCAGCAGCTAAGTTAAAAAGATCCATGACTTAAAAGTATAACCTAACAATGAATAATATAGTAATAAAGAGCTCGACCGATATATCAGCATGATTGAAATTATCGGCTGATTTTATCTTAACATAGATATTCATATTTGCTACTAAAACATTGCAGTAAAGAAATGCCAAAGATATGTTTGAGGTAATTTAGAAACAATGTCTCCATGACACTTGTCCACCAGAGAGCAGTAACAAGTGTATTCTTGAACGGTAAAATAGCCTGTTCAGTACATATCTTGCCCCCATTTTAAAAAACAAAAACAAATTTAAAGGATTCCTATAGAAAAGTTTGTTCATGCTATGCGATTATATTATAGAATAAGGCTGGTGATATTCAATTTATTTTTTGTTGTCAACATTTCCCGTGATAAGACCAAAACCAAAAATGAATTGATCCTATTAACAAGTGTTGTCTGTGTGGCCTGGTCTGATTGTGGCTCATGTCATGGAGCTTAATTTTTGTCCAGAAACTACTAAAAACACATCATTGAACTACACTGTTGCTCTGGATGACACATTCTTTCATTACCATGAACAAAGACTATAATACTCACAAATGCACCAAAAGTGTATCTGCCGGTGAAAATAGTCCAGAACAAATAAACTATTTTCTCCAGTAAGAGTAATGTTCGTAAAAGCCAAATTACATTACAATGTGTTGTAATGGATGAAGCTACACAGAAGTATAGAAAGTTACATTTTGCTCTACCTTTTGTAACATTAAAGAGATGTACACATTAATGCATCAATAATTTTAATCCAATAAAGTAATATAGCCTACATTATTCTGAAATGAGACATTGCATTTTACTTGTGGCACTTGTCTATATTATGTTTTTTAATGCATGATTTTTATTTGTTTCTATGCTGTGGTAATACTACTTTTACTTAAGTACTTCTTTCACCATTGATATGGGCCCACTGGGAGTTGATAAATGATAATAGTCCTACTGACAAAAACCCCATCCCCAACAGTAGCTTGCATGGGAAATTTAGGTTAGCATAGGCTCGCTTTAGCATACATATATCTTCTTTTAGAAAAAAAAGATAATTAACATCCTCTTTATAAGCTTAAAATATAAACAAAAAACATAAACAAGGTTGGGCACACAGCAATGGGATAAATTCACTAATTAAATGCAAACCTATAATTAAAGCTGCAAGCAGCGTTGGGCGGGCCCTCGCACTTGTAGCGCGTCCGCGCGTGAACCGGCCGAGTTGCATATTCTGGAGCTCTGCCGGTGCGGCTGTGAATTTCCTACGCGTTTCCGACGCCGCATGAATGTGCTATATGTCACTTCCTGTGTCCCCTATGTGGAGCTACATAGCACTTGCCGCTATGAATATAAATCGGTATTGACGTGTAGATGTCTGCGGGGTGGGAGAGTTATCAAGCACGTAAAGTTTGTTTCAGATGTGAGCATGTACACTGAACAATAATGTACCCAAACAATAAAATAAATTCCTTTTATATTTCCCTGCCTTGTTGTTTATGTGTACATACAGAGGAAGAATGTGAGAACAGCACACATTTCATCGTTACTGTGTGTTAGAGCATGGGAGAACAGTGGATACTTTTAATACAGCCCACACCCCTAATACTGTGTAACTATAACAAGTAGAGAACAGAAGAAAAAGATGTTCTTTCTTTACAACTGTCTGCATAGCTTATTCATATTGTGTAATGAATGAAAATAAATAGGCCTACTAGGCTCCTCTCTACTTTGACATTTAAGATTAGCTTGTTTGATCCACCTTCATACACATGTGACATTACTGTACAACTTGAGAAAGGTGAGTTGTTTTCTGCTCCAGCCTGCCTAAAAGAAAAGCGTTTTTGGGATTAAATGGACTTTATTAGCTGCTGCAGTGCAGGATGAACTCAGAATAGACCCATTTCTCACCTTATTATTCTAAATCATGCAACGAAGAAGAAGAAATGCATAAGAAATCCTGGGACAAAATCTGTCCACAAATACTGTACAGCATGTAGTCTGATGATCAAGACTTGTGTTATAGCTGACTTGGGCAGTGAAATGTTTTTTTAATTCATGTGGTCATAGTTGTTCACAACTCAAATCAGAATATAAGAAGAAATGTTTTATACCACCTCAAGAAGGCTTCCTATCAGAAAGGTAGGAAGGTATTTCAAATGTACAACTGCAGTACTTAAATCTAAGTAAAGTAATTTCCCTGACATTTTGTGTTACTTTACTTTTAATAGACCCATGTAAGAGGTTTTATACTTCCTGTGAGTATAATCCAATCAATCTTATTTTCATACTGTATATCCGATGTGTAATTTGATAAATTGTGTTGTATGTCGTGCTCGCATCTCAGAGAAGACTCTGACTGCAACATGCGTCTTTGTAAAGAGAGAAACAGACAGAAAAAGTCTCTAACTCTGCCTGTCAGCTCGCTCTGCTCCGTTAAAACTGAATTTACCATACAGAATTGAATACGAGTGCACTCCAGATTTAGCTGCAGCCAGCTGACCGTGTGCTTCTCCCTATACCGCAGTTCTGTGTCCATGCATGCAGCAAACTGAAAGCACTGTCTGTCGGTGCTTCTACGTGAAAAGAGAAGGAAGACATTGCTGGTAGTATTGTCTTCAGAGTTGTTAAACACCTCAGCGCACTGAAGGAAGCCATCTGACTGTGTGAGGGGCAAGATCGTTGATGTCTGCAGGCAGAGTAGGAGCTCTCCTGTCTGACTGGTCCACCAATAGCAGAGAATGACCCCTTGAGACACAGCCCCTCCTCATTTGCATAATGAGGCAGAAATGCATACAAAAATTTAAGACAGGCAGAAATAAATACCATGGGTAAAATAAATAAGGTAAATAAATACAAAGGAAGAATAAAACAGACAAAAATATTAAAACACACACATAAATAAATACATTAAAAAAATTAGTAATAAATAAAGTTGAATAAACAAATAAGGTAATTATAACAAAGGTGAATAAGTAAAGGCACTAATTAAAATATATACATTTATGTCTCCTTGTATAATTTAATTACTACCTACATTTATTTATTTACTTAATTTTTTGTGTATTTAATTGGATGCTTATTTATTTATTGAGCATTTATTTATTTCTGTATTTATTTCTGACTGTGTCAGGATCGGTCCTCCATAGCGGGGTGGGAGAGTTATCAAGCACGTAAAGTTTGGTTCAGATGTGAGCATGTACACTGAAGTTACAACAACTTCCTGTGTCATGGCGAAGACTTGATCTCTGACGCCACGCCACGGACACACCCATTGACGAAAACTCGCAAATAGCACAACTTTTCATCTTCAATGCCTTTAGAAGGCACAGCACAAATTTGAAGTCGGTCGGACTAAATCCCTAGGAGGAGTTCGTTAAAGTACGAAGTGTGTAAATCATCCAAAATTTGACGTAAAATTCAAAATGGCCGACTTCCTGTTGATTTTAGGGCATCGCTCCAAGAGGCTTTTTTGTGCGTCTGGACAAGATACACGTACCACAGAAAATTCGTGCACGTAGGTAAAACGTGCGGCGGGGGCTGCTTCGTTAAAAGTCACTTCCTGTTGCCAGCAGGTGGCGCTATGACTGTCTGTGAATGTCAGCATGTACATGTGTTCAGGGCGGGACTCTCATCCTACATGTACAGTTTGGTCCAGATGTGAGCATGTACACTGAAGTTACGACAACTTCCGTGTCATGGCGAAGAGCTGATCTTTGACGCCACGCCACGGACACGCCCATTGACGAAAACTTGCAAATAGCACAACTTTTCATCTTCAATGCCTTTAGAAGGCACAGCAAAATTTGAGGTCGGTCGGACTAAATCCCTAGGAGGAGTTCGTTAAAGTACGAAGTGTGTAAATCATCCAAAATTTGACGTAAAATTCAAAATGGCCGACTTCCTGTTGATTTTAGGGCATCGCTCCAAGAGGCTTTTTTGTGCGTCTGGACAAGATACACGTACCACAGAAAATTCGTGCACGTAGGTAAACGTGCGGCGGGGGCTGCTTCGTTAAAAGTCACTTCCTGTTGCCAGCAGGTGGCGCTATGACTGTCTGTGAATGTCAGCATGTACATGTGTTCAGGGCGGGACTCTCATCCTACATGTACAGTTTGGTCCAGATGTGAGCATGTACACTGAAGTTACGACAACTTCCGTGTCATGGCGAAGAGTTGATCTTTGACGCCACGCCACGGACACGCCCATTGACGAAAACTTGCAAATAGCACAACTTTTCATCTTCAATGCCTTTAGAAGGCACAGCAAAATTTGAGGTCGGTCGGACTAAATCCCTAGGAGGAGTTCGTTAAAGTACGAAGTGTGTAAATCATCCAAAATTTGACGTAAAATTCAAAATGGCCGACTTCCTGTTGGGTTTAGGCTATGGCTCCAAGAGACTTTTTTGTGCGTCTGGACAAGATACACGTACCACAGAAAATTCGTGCACGTAGGTGAAACGTGCGGCGGGGGCTGCTTCGTTAAAGGTCACTTTCTGCCAGCAGGTGGCGCTATGACTGTGGGTGAATGTCGGCATGTACATGTGTTCAGGGCGGGACTCTCATCCTACATGTACAGTTTGGTCCAGATGTGAGCATGTACACTGAAGTTACAACAACTTCCTGTTTCATGCGAATCATCGACGCCACGGACACGCCCATTGACGAAAACTCGCAAATAGCACAACTTTTCATCGTCAATGCCTTTAGAAGGCACAGCAGAAATTTGACGTCGATCCGACTAAATCCCTAGGAGGAGTTCGTTAAAGTACGAAGTGTGTAAATCATCCAAAAATGGCCATAAAATTCAAAATGGCCGACTTCCTGTTGACTTTAGGCTATGGGTTCTTGAGGCTTTTTTGTGCGTCTTGACATGATACATGTCC